GAATATATACAGAGACGTTCATTAAATAATCGCAGCACCATAAAGCGCATTATGACGCAATAAAGGCGCGCCAAGGAAATGATTGAAAAAGTTATTTTTGAAGTAAATCTCTTAAATATAAATGCACTTGTATACACACACACACATACATATATATATATATATATATATATATATATATACATATATATGTACATTATGTATAACAGATATACATAAAACTTATATATTTTATATATATAAAAATTGAAAATTTTATATACAGTTATAATAATTACTTTATATATAGTTTATTTTATATATAGTAATAATTATTGTGTGTGTGTGTGTGTGTGTGTGTGTGTGTGTGTGTGTATACATTTATATACGTTGCATTTAAATACAAAGATTTTACCTATACATTACGTATATCATTATCATATGTATAATTTTCTTTGTTTCACAAAGCCGACTTTGTTTTTTCAAACAGAGACTGACACACTGTCTCTTTTGGAGCACACACAAAACTGTCACGAGAGTGTGACGTACGTACAACCCGGCGGACGTTATATATCGTGGGACGATCGATACGGCGCGATTTGTCCGCGCGGCCGGAATAGAAAATAGATAGAGAGACGCATTTACATACTGGTAAACGTACAAGCACGATCGTTGGATCGAGTGGCTTTTAAGGCCGGGGGCGTGCAACGCACCGGCCGCGAGTGGTGAGACTCCGTTCGTATATACTATGTACTAGCGGGCTGCTGAGGGAAGCAACGTGACCGTCATAGCCGAAAGCTCGCCGACGACTGTACACTCGTGCACGATCAGCGGACTAGCAGCTGCGTTCCGCTTTCGCGCCACCGCGAGCCACGAACCGCGACGACGGATGTCCGTGTATATCGTGGCTCGCTCTAGGCATTAGAAACCGATCCCACCAGCCGACATCAATTAATTGAACTCCCGACATGAGATTAAGGGGTGACTTTGACCAAGCCTCGATTAATTTAATCTAACTTTTGACTCGAACCGAAGCGCCGGGGCTTGCAGTAAAATTCCAAACTGTAGGCTAGTCCATGCCCGCCGAATCTTTAATCTGTGTCTTCATATCAAACGACAAAAAATATTAATAAATGCTGTCGCTTGATAAGTTAATCGGAACTTGATTGAAGTCGCTTTAACTGATGCAGCATTTTGAATTATAATAAGCTGTAACGCAACAAAACATGCATATTACGCAGTAAATTTACTCCCATCGACGGTGCATCTTTTTTTAAAAATGTGCGATTAGTGCAATTCCACAAAATTGTCAAATACCGCCGCAGCAACGATAGCTGTTTCGGATTTCTGCGGTAAAATTATTTTAGTCACACGGATATACCTTGTTATAGTTTTATATAATTGTATTAAATATTAATAATTGTAACTTTTGTAATTTTATTACATTTAAAATTTCGTGAAATCTTATAATCGCTTCATGTTAATGTTAAGATTTATACGAATTCCTCACGAATTATCAGCTCATTATAGATTTGATAAGATATTTAAAATTCTCTTTGACGTAAAATAATAATTTCTCATTATAATGCAAAAATAATACCTACAAATTTATAATAAATCGCACGTACACGGAAAGAACGATTTTGTTGAAAGGTCTAAAAATTTTGCTAAAAACGGATCTGAAAATAATTTTTTGTTGAATCGTCAAAAGAAATTTGTTAGATTGTTAAAACTGATAAGCATTGCTATAAAACATTTTGATATTCTAGCAATCACTTTGACTTTCGCACAAAATTATTTTGATTATTAAACAAAAATTATTTTCAGATCTGGATTCAGCAAAATTGTTCTTTCCGTGTACGCACGGCGACTCGGAATGCCGACCTCGAGAAGTTCAGCTGATCGTCACGATATCTTGACGCGGCGTTTAACCGTTCGGATCATCTTTTATTTCTCTATAATGACAAACTTGTTCCTGTACCTGCCGTATGGGTTCTGAGTCTCACATGACGTGGATACCTGACGTGGATCACGTCCTACACGTTGACTTAATTTATTATGCGGCGCTTTTGCCACGCTCTAACACAACCGATGTATTTACTGAGAAAGAGAGAAAGAAAGAAAAAAGGGAATGACGATTATCTTCCGCCTTAATTCAATCGTGCTTTTTCGTTGTTTTGCCTTCTGTAGCGGCAAATAATCCTGTTCAATTCGCCCCGAGCAATATCGACGTCAACACATCGACGCACACACGGTGGTTCGGAATGCCGAGCGGTTACCCTCGAAAAATTCAGGTTCGACGTTAAATGTCTGGACGGTTCGTTAATTAGACAGTTTACATCTATACATATCAATCTATCTTCTCATTTATTTATTCGTAATCCTTTACTTCATTTTAATTTTTTTTTTTTCGAATTTTGAACATCCGTGCGTGAGACTGACGTGTCTCTTAATATACGAACGGCTCAGCTCGGTCCGCTTCTTGAAAATGGAGCCGCATTCGGGGGATTTGTCCGGGACACAAAGGCCAAGTGCCCGAAAAGAAGTTTGGAAAGAAAGAAGATGAAGAACTCCCCTCTCAGCGATGTTGCTCGGACAATCGCGCCCTGTCTGAATGTCCTCGATGAAATGAGACCGATCCGCGCTCGATCGGCCGTGAGAAATGAGCTTACGCGCCGTTTCTTTATCGGGGTCGGCATGGAAGTTCGGAAAATAACTGGTGATCTCGAATCGATTCTCCGTCATTGGGTCAGAACGTTCAACCTTATCACGATGATTTAAAAAACCGGATCTTCACACGCTGTGCCGATGAACGCTAACACGAAGGACATTTCTTTTTCGCTCCTCTAATCTTCTCCTCCTCCATCTTTTTTTTCTCTCTTTTTTTTATGGATTTCCATAATTCAGGGATGCGATATATCGCTTTTTTTCCACCTTCTTGCTCTCTTCCCTGAAGACGGAGATATAGGATTTGTTGGGTACGATAATAACGTTAGACCGGTTTATACATTGGATCGATCTACCGTATACTGACGTATCACGTTACTATCACATTATCGTTGTGTGTCAGTGTAAACCGGAATGCGTATAGCACCTTTGCGTATCAAAATTTTGCTACGACGATATGAAAAGACGCGCTGTATTGTATGCGGAAAGAACGATTTTGCTTTGAAATATCTAGAAATTTATTTTAATCTAAAAATAATCTTGATGAATCGTTTAAATTAATTATATTGAACGCGCAAGTTGATTGTCAGAATGTCAAAAAAATTTTTGCAGCGTTATCATCATGCTTGAGCATCCTTAATTATACTTATTATAATTATTTTGATGGTTCAACATAATTATTTTCAAATCTGCACCCGGTTAAATTTTTAGATACTTTAACAAATTTGTACGATACGGGTGCACAAGTTTGTATCAACAGATATTTTTTATCACAGCAAAGTATCGCCATTCTTCTTTTTTTATATAGATTCACTCGCAGTAAAATAACAATCGGTCTTCAATTACCTTTGTTTTCCGTTTGGTTCTGCCTCCGACTGCGGTCCATCTCAGCGCTGTGAATATTTCGAAGCGTTCGGCCAATCCGATCGGGACAAAGGGATGATCTACGAAGCATTTCCAGCATCGAATGCACTGCACAAGTCTCTGTCGCACAAAATATTCTTCTATTATATATTTATTATAAAATGTTCTTCTAAATATTCACAAAGTTTCTTATTACGATAGTTTATGCGGAGTCGCGCGCGAACCGCGAATCGTACCCGACAGTCTGTGACTTGTCGGGCGACTGCTTCATCGTTTAAACTTCCCAGACCATCACAAGGATGCTCGTCGTATCGCCAAATTGTGTTTGTCGATGTTGACTGTCGTTATCTTTAGCTCATTCTTATCACCACAAATAACGAGAAACAATTAAACCTTGACATAAAGTACAGAGTTTATTTCCGTGCTTTTTCTCCGTTATTTTTCGACCCGGATTCTTCCGAAGGATGACTCTTACTATACGCACGGATTAAATGTGAAATATTTCTATAGGTGTAACAAGCTCTCTTTCACAGGAGTTTCCTGAATGCCTGCCATTAAATGTCAATAGCTGCTGCAGACTACCAGTAATGGAACTTTTAAAGAGGCCTGTCGGAAGTTTGCACTGACGTCATTATTTGACGTAATTTTTATTATTATTCACAATAACAATATTAATAACAATTAATATTCATCCTTCTTCTGACTACATTAAATTTATGCATTTTATTCTGAAATCTGCGTCACTGCTTGAAATCACTGGCGTTATAAAAAATGTCTTTATGATAAGTAATAATCTAATCGTGCGATATCCAAATCACTGAATCTCGCATTTAACGTATAAAAGGAAACAGTAGCGACTCTACTCTACATTTGCGTATTTACGGTGATTCAATCAACAAAATGAAAAATAAAATCTTTCGTAAAAAATCGTAAAAAAGTTTTATCATAGGAAATATGTTATTTTTTACTATCCAATTCTGATCCACGTGAACAGACGCTTGCACAAAGTTACAAAGTATCATTTCGATAAAAATAAAGAAATATGTTCAGATAAAACATACAAACGCGTATATATTTATATCACCATATACATATACATCGTAAAAATATAACATTTTATTATTCAACGAGTCTTTAATTGTTACTTTGCACTTTTACGCTTTCTGCACATAAACTTACGCTTTGGACAAAAAGAACGGAAAATTTAGAAAGTATTATGAGCTAAAAGCAGTAAAACTCTTTATAATAACCTAATTATTTTAGATAATCCATTAACTAGAAAAAATAGAAAGGTTATTATAACATAAACTATTTCTACAAAATAGGAACAAGTATATTTTTCATAAGTGAACTCATAAAAAATGTGTTGTGGATTTATATCATGTAAAAAATACATTAAATTATGTAAGTTAAAATATCAGTTGCTTATTATTTGTGGTAGTGTTTCATATCTATAAAATAAATTGAGGAATTGAAAGCGCAACAACGATAAGTTTTTTTATGCCATATATTCATACAAATAACCAGAAATGAAGTTCAGTGTTTATCAGTTGCTGTGTTAACCCTTATCTTCAATTTATTTTCTTTTATGGAATCATAAATCATTTTCTCAAAACAAAAACTGTTCTCATAATATTCAATTCCTCAATTTGTGAATTATATATCTGCACTTTCTTCTACATTTTATTAACTGTATTTTGTACTTCCATTCTTATAATCATGTATGGCCGCATTTATTAATAATTCAACAGGACTAGCAACTGACTCGATTCACAAAATACTGACTTAATTATTAGTAACTTATATCAAGAGCAGATATGTAAATTATATGCAAAAAAAAATGTTTTAATTGATATCTAACTTAATATTAAATGAAATTTGGGAACAAAGTAATTAAAAAATCAGTTTTCTTAATAATTAATAACACAAAGTTGTCATGGTAATTGTCTCGCCATCCTATCAGGTATCTGAAAATAGTTTTCAAATGTTGATTGAATCAAGATATACCTTTAAAATTTAAAATATGTACTATTAAATATCTTGCTTACCAACATAATTACGGTTTAAAACATAAATATTATATACATATATATACTTGAAGATATTTCAATTTACATTTTCTAGATTGTATATGATGTAATAGCTAGATACTGCGTTATACATCTAGATTATATATAATATATCTAAAAATAAATAGTATTTTCATATATAAATTATTTGGCAACTCGCAAATAATATATACAGTTTTTAAAATTACATTTCTTAGGCAAACATATATAATATTATATATATAATATTTGTATTTTAAACCACCGATATGCATATTTTTTGAATATGTACCATTCCGTTTTGAATATTCTCATGCGGGCCACGACTTTTAGGCGGTAGTACTGGTAGAAGTTTATCAACATTTATATTAATTTGAGGATCTTTCTCTTTGATCTGTTTCATAGTCGCCTGGCAAACTTTAATTACATTCTCAGCATTCATGCGACGATCATCACTCCATAATGGACAGCTATGTTTAAAAGAATCGTGAGATAATATCGCACTCGATTGCACAATATCGAATTGTAATATCGAATTAATAATAAAACTTATTAAAACTTACAGATTTGAACATTCTGCTCCTTGACCTTGAAAGTGCCTATAATCGGTTACTGGCTTGTCGCAAATGTAGCACATTTGGGCGCCACACGTACAAGTCATTTTGTTACAGCCTTCTTCTTTGAAGAACATTTTGCTGCAACGGTAGCATTTTCGTACCAGAGCTTCGGTCATCTTCTCTTCCAAAAACAAACGCGCAGATTCTGTTGCTTTCCTTTCATTGCATTTCAGCGGTACGTGATTAAGTTCTTTGCAGAATCTAATACCAAAATTTATTAATGTATAATATGCAATCATTTATTTCTGAATAGTCTAAAGATCAGTGCTTTTAAGTGCAGTATATAATATTACATAAAAACGTGAACATTTTTTCAGAAATTTACAAAGCAACATTCTACGAACAAGAAATATCTTGTGCATTTTGAACTAAAACGTTCTAAAACGTACAATTCTCATTTTAATTCAACAAGATCGGAATCCAATGACAATAAAATTCGATAACAAAATTAATAGCGTTAAGATCACACTTACCGACAAGTTTCTTTCATACATTCCGGATTGAGGCATTTGAATATTTTGTCTTCGGGTGGTGGTATAGATGCAAAATGACAAAATGGACACGATACCAAGCCTTCGAGTCCAGCGGCCATTATTTCTGCTTCCTGCCGCTTGCAGAGCAGAATACTGAATTTCGTTGGCAGCAACACTCGCTGGAGTACGGATATCGGGAACTCGCAACCGCATTGTATCAGGCAATCGATGCGCGTATTACCGTCTCCTAATACCACGTCTGTGCTCCGTATAATACATGTGTTGCAAAATACATGACCATCCTCGCAAGTGGAACACTTTGACGGCATACATTCATCATCATAACAACACTGACATTCAAGCAATTCGTTCTTTGCCTAAAAAGAAATTAACAAATAATGATTTATTTAAGAAATAACTTTGGTTTCCATTTTAAGAGCATTCTCGTACTTTAAGCTCATTAAATTCTTGTTCCTCTTTTAGTTTCACTTCATTCAGGTAGTTTTTAATCTCCGCTTTGTGCTGAATAAAGGCACACTCTTGAAGGAACGGTATGTCTTCTGTTAGAGTCATTTTATTGGAATGTCTTCTAGTTTTCATATCAGGATTTAACGCTTCCAGAGATTTCGCAGTTAAACTTAAATTGTTCTTGTATTCACTGTATGCCTTCACCAACGTGTTTACCTGTAAAAAGAATTTTATATCATTATCGTTCTATACGTTATATTATTCGTATATTTAAATTGTGCTTTACATATATTATAAAAAATTATAAGCGGAAAAATAATGTAATTTTATCACGATAAGTAATCAAAATCATAAATATAAATAAATCCAAGATAATTTGATACTATTCATGTTATTGATATCATGTTATTGAGTTTTTTCCGTAAAGATAAAGATAAATAATCTAAATCTTAAATATAAAATATCCAAAATAACTTGGTAATACATCATGCTACTAAGTTTTTCCCTACAGAGTATAAATCTAATAATAATAATTCAAAACTTTAAACCTTATTATGCTATTACAACCCAATCGCCATTCGGAAATCCAAAACAAAAAAAAATAAAATTAATTATGCATTTAAAAGAATATCTGATAATATTGTACCATTATTAATATATATGTTACTATCTTAAATTAAGCACTTACCCTCAATTTACTAAAATAATATTTTAGAAAATCTACGGCGTGTGGATTAAATTCACAGATTCTCTTATCATCTTCGAAGTACGAGAATGGATCTGGAAATATGCTTAAAAATTGTTCCACTTTGAAATCCGTGGTATACTGCTTTTGTTGTTGGGTTTTCTTTTTTTTAGCCAGATATTGAGTTCTCGTTGGATAATCAGGATTTTCCAACTTTGACTGAACAAATTCTTTTATCTGCTCAGGATCGCTATATATTTGCTCAGCTACTTCTCTTAAATATACAGGATCCGCTTCTGGAAATATCATCAATAAATCCGCATATTGCTCATTCATGTCGTAAGTTGGAATAGAATTTGTCGCCTCTGGTAATGGCTTGTCTTTTTTTACTGTAACCGACAAATTTTCTTGGTCACATTGAAGCAATCTTTCAACTAAGTATTCCACTAATGCTGCTTCATGCTGGGTTGATATGACCTCATCATCGTTGACATACTCATGGCACAATCGTTTGATATAACGAGTTTTCACCGTTGGAAACATCGGAATTAATTTGGCATATATTTTAGTAGCTTTCTCACTTAATTTTATTTCATTTTGAGCGGCATCTTTCATTGAGTCTATTTTTACCTTCTTAATATTTAATATACTGCTATCATCAATTATATTTATGTAATTAGATTCCATGCCTCTTGTTCCAGATTCATGCTAAAAAGGAACCAACTGATTAATATCTAAACGATTAATTAATATCTATCTCGTTAATAAAGGATAAGACTAGAAATCTGTTTGAAAAACAAGAAGGTGAAGAAATCCAAAAATTTATTAAGAGCTATACAAAATGTATGTGACTTCGTGAAAGGAATTCAAAAGGAAAGCAAAAGTAAATTGAAAATTCGAACCTCTGGATTCATTCCAAACATTATAATGACGCACGTGTCTTGTGATTTTAACTTTTCGACTGTAAAATTGGAACTGCGTGATTATCGAGGTGTATATACGCAGAAAAACCTTCACGAAAATTGGAAACGTGGCTCAATGGTAAACACGATATAAAGACATCGGATGTGCGAGGAGCCATAACACAAAGATGTAAATATTATCTTCACGAGCATCTTCGGTTGAGCAATACGTATGAAAGTATAATAGCCCTTAAGCCCTGCCGCAATCTCGCAAGCCGAAAAATTCTTAAAAAATTCACTTTTCTTGTTTCTCGAAGGTCGAAGTGAAAATGATGGATCCACGCACAATTTAGCAGATTACTAACAATAAGTAAATTTGGCTAATTTAAAATAAACAAGCACGCATGTCGCCAATATAACCTCAAGTAGAGAATTGAATGCGCAAATTTCATCAACCGGTCGAGATGACGAGCTCCCACCCCTGCTCCCCACATGTATAAACACGTTCTTACCTCGTGCAAGGCCTGAGATGTATTCATATTGCCTCCCTTCTCAAAATTACAATTTGCATTGCTGCCGCTCGCTCTCTGGTGGTCCGAGATGTTTTGCACAGCCGCTGCTTTTGAACTCGATGGTATTATTACAGGCGCATGATTACCCGATGCCGCAGACACACTCGACACCGATGCTCTCGCGACGTGAGCGTTGTCCAACTTAGTGCTTTCCATTTCTCTAATTCTCGGTGGCAATTTGTATTTGATCGACCTGTGCCATTGTAATGGAGGTGGGCGTGGGACACGGGTAGATGCTTTTTTGTCATTTGATGGCAGTAACGTATGATTTCGCACAAATGAATTTGGATTTAGGTTTTGCAAAATGGGTGATGGGGGATGCGAGGGTTGAAAGGGTTGAGGACACAAGGATTGCTGTACCATTCGCGTATAAGACGTGGTTGGCATTGGAAAAACGATTTGCTCATTTTGCCTCATTTGCGTTACACCAGGTGTAGTATTAGCCATATCACCTGCATAGTTGGTAGAAGTTACATTGCCCTGGGGCATTGCTGGTATCACACGGGCGCCGTGGACTTGTAATTTTGGCGGTGACAAAAGAGGATTTGTCGATTTGGGAAGTCTCTCGTTTTTCGGTGTGGAATTACCTTGAGGTGTAAACTTCGCCGGTTGCAACAGTCTTGACTTGTTATCAGAAAGTAAATTCACCCTAGCTTCCGAACTCGTAGTCGCTTGCAACTGACTCGGCTTGACGTTCGAATCGACTTCCATAGATGTCTTTGGATTCGGAGCCACGTAATTCTCGGCGCAATATTTACCGAGATCCTCCAGAAGACGAAACGTTATTTCTTTCAATGTCGGTTGTTCGCTTTCTCCTTGTTCCAATGTCGGTTGTTCGTCTTGTTGAGCGATATCATTATTCGCATCGTTCAAAGCTGGCGCCGCTTCTGGAATGTCCATTTTCGTTTCATTCTCATCCATTAATGATGCAAGTTCTTCAATTACCGATTTTTCGTTGTCGGCAGTTGCCTCGTCTCTCGCCCGTTCTTCTCTCTTCACCAAGGCCGCGTTTTCTACCTGATCTTTTTGCGGTGCGGTATTGCGATTTCTCTTACGTTCTGTACAATATGTGTCACTCGAACATTTTCGTTTCTGTAAATATTGCGGCAGCGGTCTTTCCTCCGGTAACAAGTCCCACAACGTAAGCTCGATGCGATTTCTCGCATTTTGATTATTACAGATCGCTTTATAAATCGTACGGCTATTGTATCTAGGTAGAAGAACATGTATCAGCTTCGCATCCTTTAACAATTCATCCAAATTGGAGGAACCGGAGGAATCTTCCGCCTCTGGGATATCGTCAGAAGAATCTTTACTGCACCCTGGTTCTGGACTGCTTAACTCCCGTCTCTTTTCCTCCTTCTTAGAAACGTTCTTGATGTACAGTACATCGTTATTGTTTTCCTCGGCTGCTTTTTCATTGCGTCCACCTTGGACCTTATTGTTAACAATTGTAGCTTGTTTGTGACTGCCAGTAGGTGCAGTTTCAACTTGATTCAGTTCTAACCTATCAAGGGAAGAGCATGAAGGCACAGGATTATTGGATTTTTTTACAGTACCGATAATTGAAATATCATCATTATTATTAAAAGAATTATCAGACGAGTTGCTATCGGTGTTAGAATTGTTGTCATTATTAGAATTGCCATCGGTATTAAAACTGCCGTTGGTAGAAGACTCCGATAGATCAATTATTACGGTTCTTTTGCATTTTTTGGATGAATTCCGTACTTCATGTTGTTCCTCAGCATGCAATTCCATCGTAGAGGATTCAGCTTGCTCCGAATCAGAAAATTCTGCATTCAAACATTCAAGCATAGACCTCACTTCTTTAAGCTTAGAAGCTTTATCAGCACCATGGCATATCTCTGGTTGAACTTTCATGGCGAATGGTCTTGAATCGTCAATCGTTTCGACACTTACGCATTCCCCAGAAGAATCCGGCATTTCAGATAGTTCGGAAGCTTCATCAGCATCATGGGCTGTCTCTAGTTGAACTTCCATGGTGGATGATCCTGAGTTGGCAATCATTTCGTCACTTATATTTTCCGCAAAAGAATTCGATGGTTCAGACTGTTCGAAAATTTTTTCAGAACTGTATGCCTCTGACTGAACGTCCGTGAATCCTGAATTGTTCAGAGAGTCTTGAATATCTTCGTTCTCTTTATCCGTGGTTATATCCAAAAGGAAGTCATTGTGGGTCAGGTTTACATCGTGGAGATCGTGTGAGGGATCCAGGTCTTCCTGGTCCGCCAAAAATTGCCCCTGAAATTCATCTTCGAAAGTCTCGTACATTCTGTCGTGGTTTCCTGTAAAATTGAAGAACAAAAACTATTAAAGATGTCATCGGAAATAATATTTTGAGATCTGTAAAATAATACCTCCTTAGGCATAACGTAATGTAAAATAGCTTATTAATAAAATATTATATTATACCTTATTATAGCTTATTAATAAAATATTTCTCGAAAGCAACGAATTTAAGAATGAAGCCTCGCGTAGGTTATAGAGAGGAAATATATAATAAGAATAATACACAAGATATGTGTGGAAACTGGAAAAGTAACGTGAGACTACACGACACGCAAAAAAATAAAACTGATAACGAGACGCGAGTTTACAGAAAGATGCGAGAAAACGTGACGATTACTTAATAGCGTGTTGATGTTTGCGACTGCAACAGGTTCGCAACGTTCATGTCAGTGGCGAAAAGACGGTCAATTTCAGGATGTAATGCGATTCCTCACTTTTACCTCCCCGATAAACGGTAGACAAATATATTCAGTACACCACTAAAATCCTGTGCATAACACTCCTTGCCAGTTCTAGCGTTGATTCATTTACGTTTCGGAATGTGAGCGCCGTGCGGTGCAAGAAAAGCTCCAGAATAGTTACAATAGGAGTCATGCTGGGAGCCGACCGGCCAATCGCAGTTGAATGTGAGACAAATAATCGATTATGATTGGTCGATTTCCTACGACTTAAGGGAGAATTCACATTTTGACAGAAAAGTAGAAAGCAAATAGTCAGATACTGGCTGCGTTCCTCTTAGCGCTTACAGCGCTTATAAGCATCATTTGTCTTTGTTTAATATTTGATAAACAACAAGGATGAAATGATTTTGTGAGCGCTGTAAACAGCTGTAAGCGCCAAACGGAACGCAGCCACTGTCGACAGCGTCGACTACCAGCGCGAGTTCTGATTGGCTTCTGCTTTTCTGTTTTCCGCTTTCCTGTCGAGGTGTGAATTCGCCCTAACACCCTCGCTGCTGCTGACTGCGCAGTCACGGGTTACGCGCAGTTACGCGTTGGGATGGGAGAAAACGACGCGCGCGCGGGTTGGCCGAACGCGCGGTCGGCACGGTGATGGGGGTAGCGACTCGCCACGTGATAGGATCCGCTGCGCGCGAGCGAGGGGATATGCGGCGGATCTATAAATGCCTAGGCTGAACGCTCCAATCAGTGTTCGAGGAGTGTTCGTAGAGATGCGGGAGAGAGCGCGAGCCTGACTTCTGACTGCGGAGTGACTGTTATTTTGTGCGGTTGGATCGGAATAGAGGCGAGAGAGAAGAAACCGACGCGCGCGGATCGACCACGACGGAAAAGGAGGAAGGACGAAGGGTAACGAGAGCACGCGGAATACGAGCATACGGTGCGCCCCGACTCCGAGACACGGTAACGGTGAATTCGCCGTTGTTACACGTTCCTCAGACGGTGGCTCGCCCGCGGCGAGAGGAAGCGTTTCTCGAAGGGTTTCGGCGGAGGAGAACGTGCGAGAAACGCGACGGCGAAGGCGGGCTCGGTCGCAGGGCAGTCCGATTCGATCTGGCAGTGCCGTGAGCGAGAAGGCAAACAAACACAAAGGCCCGTGCGGTCCGCCATCTTGAATAGAGAGAGGAGCCGTTTATTGTCGTGCCGGGGAGCGAGCGGAGCGTGTGCCGCTTTTCCGTATTTCGAAGAGAGTATACAGGCCGCGTAGAAGGGAAGGCGGAAGAAAAGGATACTTGAGCTAAGGTGGCTAACGGTCACCGGATGTGGTCGAATTTGCGGGGAACGCGTACTGGGAGGACAGCGAGAGAAGAGGAGCTCGAGGCGAGGTAGCATCGCGCTAACAGGTCCCCGGGGTGCCCCACCGCACTTATACCACCGCGTCGTCACCGTCGTCGTCCCCACCACCGCTCTGCCCTGGATACCGTGATTATTGCGCAGTTGGAAAAATTGCTAGCCAGGGACGCGGGACGTCGTCCGCGAGAGGCAATTCGCGAACGTTTACCGGTAAGACGCCTTTTTTTTTTCTTTTGTTATTTCCTCGAATTTTTGCCCTCGAGGCCATTTGAGATCGTTCGAAAATGTTGATGAACAATAGAACACGCTAGTGCATTTATCTCCCCCGTTTGTTTCCCGTTGTGCGGAAAAGCGGATATTTTCCCGGATGTTGGAAAGATAAAAAGCTTTTTCAAGAGTCAATTGAAAAAGAACAAAGAAAATACCTATTGTTCACGAGATGTCATAAATGTTTTGTTATGTTGATACATATTCCTTAGGTCTTTATATATTTTGGAGGGTTGCTCGAACGTGGACACTTTAAAATTTCGAAAAAGTTTCATATCTTTTTTATTGTTTCTTGTAAGGATATTACATGTTAACAGTGTATATAAAGCTTTAAACGTTTTTCGGTGTTAATAAATAGAAGAATAACTTTATAAAATTGGGAAAAAGATTACTATTACTAAAATTATTAACACTAAAGTTTAAAAAAAATAAGCCACATTTTTTTTAATATATATAATTTAAATTTCTCTTAAATATTTTGTTTATATATTTCAATCTTTTAAAGAATACACATGTAATGAACATAATGTGTTTATTTTTTAGTTCTCAATGAAAACTCACAATGCTGAGAACTAAACAGTGACTTTTTTTATTACTATCCACAAACAATTCTGTCTTCTAGGAAAGATATTTCACGGTGAAAGTATGATAGAAAGTATACAATTGACTCTTATTGAGCGTTTATTTATTGATCTGAAGCTGATTTGTAATTACAGCCAGAATCTATTTTTAAATATTGCAAATGCGTGCTTTTAAGCATGCTAAAATTTGATCTTTTATGTAATAGGTATTATTGATGTAACACAATGTAACGGTAGAATTTTTGCATAACTAGCTTACATTTGAAAAAGCATCCAAGATTTATTTCTTCCCGTAATAAGATGGAAAAAATGCATAGACTATCGAGGAATTCTGCATCTCTATTGCTTGTAATGTACATGCACATTATAAATTCAAATGGTTCAGTTATAATACAGCTGTATTCTGCAGAACGTGTCGCTTAAATAGAGATAAATGAAATCATGGTATAACGAATTATTTTATTTTTGCACCGTGCAAACAGTGAGCGTTGTAAAATAACCAGTATGTTAATGAGATTTTGTTTTATATCTATGATAAATTCCATCGAAATCTGCTCTCTACATATAGCTTTAGCTTTTTATTTGTGTACATTGTATAATTTCCCGGCATTTTTTTTAAAAAAGATCAATTAAATAAATAAAATAATTTATTAATGGAAAGAGAAAACCTAGAATTTTTAATTTACTGAAGTATTCTTTGCAGTAAATATTTAGTTAGATTTAAGCGTGCCAAATAATGTTATCGCCATTTTCTCCTTTTCAAACAAAGAAAATATCTTCTAATATATTAAAATTTTTTCTAAAAAGAAAATGTATTTTTCACAAAGAAAATGACATTTTTTTTCTTTTTGAACAAAAAGAAATATAAATCAATTTTAAAGATATGGAAAAAATATTGATGTAGGAAAGAAGGAAAGTAAACGTTAGGAATACAAAAGGTCCGTCTGCTTTGTATTGCAGACCGACGAGTTCGCTTAGTGACGAGGAGGTGTAGTGAATCGAAACAGAGAGAAAGAGATAGACAAACATCCGAGCCATGACGAACTCCGCGCCCAAGTTAGACAACGCCAAGGTGGATCGGCAGGCCTCGCCGAAGGTCGGGTATCAACCCCAGCACAACCATCATCACAATCGTTCCAACAGTAAATCATCGCCGTTCCTATACAAGAATGGCCGCCACGCGGTCAGAAACGCTAAAGACGGACGGCAGAGCTGCAGCCCGTACAGCCCGTCGTCCAAGAGCGCGAGGAATTCGCCGCAACAACAACAACAGCAGCAGCAGCAGCACCAACTACATCAAGAACAGCAGCAGCAGCAGCACCAACAACAACAACAACAACAATTACAACAACGTTGCGAGCAGCGCAGTCCGAGCAGCAGCCCGACCAACAACTTTTACGCGGGCGCCAAGTTCTCGGAAACGCCGTCGCCCGCGAGCGTGCCGAAGCCGCCGAGTCGTTGGACGACTAGACTGATGGACTGCCGCCAGTCGGACAGCGCGAGGGAACACACGAGGCAATTGCGCATAGTGCTGAACGTCCAGGCTTGATACCCAAAGACCAACGCATACACCAGCAACGCGCGAGGTGAAAAAAAGCAGCGACCGTCAGCAGCTCCGAGAGTATCAGGTACGATAGGGAATCGTCGTCATTAAAACCATCGGCCAAAAGGACTGCGAGAGTAAGAGGGACGATGTTAAACACGACGATGATATGAGGTTGAATGTGAAGATTATGATATTAGAAGATAATGATTGATGACGATGATAGTGTGACACCGTGTGCGGTCCATATACACACGGGTTTTTCGAGTTTTATCGCGCGAGTGGATACCCGTAATCCGTTCTTTACGCTAAGATACATCCAGCATTACAAACTTTAAAAGCCGTATACAGACTATGCACCGCAGGGGGGTTGACGACGCGGCGCATCGGTGCGTCCCGATGCCGCGATCGATGTGTGCACACGCGAGAGATACATTATATATGTATATATATGCGTTCTGGAACTCCCATCACGCGCCATCATTGTGACAAAAATGTAAGTGATACTGTATTTTAGATTATCGTATACCGCTAAACTTACAAAAAAGGAACACACAAGGAGAGCCCCACATACATACATATATATATTATCTGTATAACATCCGACACGTATATATACACACATACACAGAGAGGGAGAGAGATAGAGTGACATCCTCGTCTCTGACGAGACGACAAGCGCGGACGAGCGAAGTTACGCTTCGCGATTTTGTCAAACGATGAACTTCAATATCGACGCGTTGAAGTAAAAAAAAAAAAGGAAGAACAAGCGTCCGATAATTTCTCGCGATCGATTTCTCTTTCCAAAGTGACTCTCGGAAGCTCGCGCTTCATGCCGTTCCCGCGACACCCCCGGTGTTCGAATACGCGTTTTTATTATTCCCCTCGTGCTCTCTAATCGTCGGCACATTAGAGACAAAACGGCGACGCGGTACGCAATCTGCCGATTCGTAGGACAGAGAGATGCTGGACAAGTAGCAATTTGTTTAAATAGCCGCCCGACTAATGATCGTTATCAGTATACTTCTTTATTAACAGTTTCTTTCGCGAGCTCTTTATCATTTTGGTATTACGGATTGTAAAGAGAGACACGGCTTCGTATAGGAGATTTATTTCAGGCAGCTTTTTTTTTTAATTTCCGTTTACTTTTCTTTCATTTTTTTTTTGTTGGGAATATTTTTATTTTCTTGCTATTCTACTACTCTCTGCTTATTCGTTACTCTTTACATGAGATAAGTGTATAAGGTGTAAGTTTTGAGTTTTTCAGTGCGTGTTACGCGAGTGGGTTGATTGAACGTGACATGACAAGAAGGAAAAGGGGATCGGGAGAAATCCTCGTGAATGAGGGGCGCGGATTGAATGGATGCTTCGCGGATACGTCACGACGATTATCACGATATACTCATCGTGACGTTGATGAAAAATTTACATTTCGATCACACCTCTCACGTGCTCTCGATTTTCGGCATGTTTCGACAAAATTACCAATTGCATGTAATGTAAA